GGCCCCCTGCTGCTTAATAGCCCCTTAGAAGCTGCTTTACATTTCAACAGCCCCTTAGAAGTTGCTTTACATAAAATGCCTTTAGATATGTTTCCCCGTTTTTAGCAAGCGTTTGCAGAAGCAAATTGTGCAGGTTAAAGCTATACTAGCAAATTGTGCATTAGCAAGCGTTTGCAGAAGCAAATTGTGCAGGTTAAAGCTATACTAGTAAATTGTGCAGGTTAAAGCTATATTTCCATTACACTCTTGGGCCCACCACCTTTGAGCTCTGAAGCTCTGTCTTGTTTCCTCACTCGTTGTCACTGGCCCCTCACCACTCCCTCTTGTGTTTCTTTTGTTGTCCTCGAAGCCCTAACCTGGTGTTCGAGGCCTCCAGTCACATTCCCTGCACCCTGAGCCCTGCCATCAGCAGTGTGGCCTCGCCCTGCCCCTACCCCACCCCTCACACACCCAACCCGTGGTCCCCACACACCTGCCCTGTCCCTCACAACGTCCCCAGGCCCCCTGCTTTCCCCCTTGGCCACTCTCTTTGGGCTCCTCATGATGAGTTCTTTATTTGGTCATTTGACCATTCATGTGAGCCATAAATCCGATTTTTTTGAACAGCCAAACTATATACTCTGTGAGAGAAGGCTCTGTCTTTGCATCACCTGCTATTTGCCAGGCATACAATAGGTACTTAATAAAATAATTTACATGTCATTTACAGTAGGTACTTAATAAAGGGAGGAAGAGGGAGCGGAAGAAATAAAGCAGCTCCATTTCTCTTTTGTCATTGGAGGGAAGTCTAGTGGGCAGGCTTTTTAATAGGACATGAAACCCCAATGAGGTGACTAAATAATCTGAGGGGGATCTGAGATGGTGGACCAAAATCTTGATTTTTCTTTAGTCTCCTAATTATTATTATTATTATTTTAAATGTTACTAGCTGTTTTTATAATATCTTAAGATATTTGAATAACTTGACTCATCCAGCTTTTTTACTCCCTGAACAAGTTTGTGAGGTTTGAAGCTGGTTTCGACTTTCCTATATTTTAAAAATCTGATGTCCGACGTGCAGCTTCTCTTAGGATATTCTCTCTGGAGTCGATGGGTGAGGGAGGGGGCTGCGCTCAGCCACTGGAGGGTTCAGATGGCAGCTGATGGGCTCAGGGCCTCAGGGGTGGCCTCAAGTACATTCTCTTCCATTTCTAGAAAGTTCAGAAAGCCTCAGCCTTTCCTCAGAAAACCTGGAAGGTGCCATGCGTTGGCTGACTTGGTCTGTGAGCAAGTCATCTCCTGGGAACTCCTGTCATTTTTAACATTCCAGCGATGCCACTTTCTTCTGACATGTTTTTAACCACACAGTCCCGGGATCCAGGCCTTGGGTCTACTTCCTAATGGGGCTCCGGGAAGCTGACTTTAGAGGCCGAGTGTCCTTCGATGGGGGCAGGGAGGGTAATGCTTGGCTGCCTCCAGCCTGCACAGCGCTGCCTACTTGTCTCCCACCTCCTCTGTGCTGTGCTCTCCCCGAGAGGAACTCCCAGTTCCACTGACCGTCTGGCTGGGCCACTTTCTCTGTCCTCCCTTCCTCACGGGGATAGAGAGGACCTCATAAGGTCATTCAGTCTGATGAGACAGGGTGTGCCCGTCTACCCTCGATACCTGGGCTAGTGACATTCTGTGGGGCTTGAGTTCAGTGGCCCCACCTAACTCCCAAACCTCAAGACTGTTGGTGGCTCAGAGCCCAGATCCCCTTTCCCACTA